ATAGAATTCAGACCTAGGGCAGCTCTGTCCCCACCCAGTTAACCAAATATCCCTGATAAAAGAAGCCGGGGTTTCCGCACAAGCAAGTGCAAACAGACCACACCACAAAAAAACCCCGCCCAGGTTCATATGCGCCCTCGCTGAAGGTTCTTCCAAACTGGCTTCGCATTTTGGGTGCCCAGCTTAAGACACGTTGGGTCTGGTTTCAAGCAGGCTGGTCACTCAGCTCTCGGGGGAGCAGCAGCTGCCCAGCCCCAGGGGTCCCCACAGATGGCCATTCCCCAAATCCAAGAATCAAAAGTCAGTGGGGCCCTTTTTGAAAATGACTCAACCGCACTGGCCCTTTTAACTCCACGTCGGAAAAGCAATGGAAAGGCATTTTCCAGCTGCCCCTGTTATTCCAATATATGGTCTCCCAGGTGTCCCCATTAAAGGGACTGGAAAAATCTAGTAAGCACATGCCATGAAACCAATTCCTGATTGCCTGTGTAAGTGGTGCAAGGCTGTAGTTAAGTTCCAAAACTAGAGGGGGAGACATACACCCAGGGATCAAACCCTCTGATCCCAAGTTATATTAGCATTTGGGAACTTTGATTGGGAATCCCCAGCTCTTATCTAGCACTTTACAACAGAAGATTTGAAAGCACTTTACAAAGGAGGGATGCACAATTATCCCCATTGTACAGACGGGGAAACTGAGGCATAGGGCGGTGCCGTAACTTGCCCAGGTTCACCCAGAAGGCCAGAGGCAGAACCAGGAACAGAACTCTGGTTTCTTGAATCCCAGTTCACGGCCTCTTTTCAATCACAGATCACTTCACGGCACAGTCGGGGCGCTAAGAAAAACCAGAATAAATTTATCTCAACATGATCCACCAACGAGCTGATTCATAGATTTTTAAGACCAGAACAAACTATAAGAAGATCATTTAGTCTAACCTCCTGCGTACCCCTCCCCATCATAGAGTTTCACCCAGTTACCCCTGTATTGAGCCAGACGTGTGTTGGACTAAAGAATATCTTCCAGGAAGGCATCCAGTCTTGATCTGCAGACATCCAGGGATGGAGAATCCACCACTTCCCTGGGGAGTTTGGTCCGATGGTTAAATGCCCTCACCGTTAGAGTTACGCCACCACATTTTTAACTACAATCATCAATTGTCATTTATAAAAGCACCTACACTCCAGCAAGACATTAAACCCAACTGCTCTTCTGCGGGAGGGAAGTATCATATGTCCCCATCATTTTGCAAATGGGGAAACTGAGGCCCAGACTGGCAACATGACTTGCCCACGGTCACATAGCAAGTCAGTGGCAGAGTCTGGAATAGAACCCAGGAGTCCTGCTCCAGAGAGGCAAACAGTTTGTACCAGAATATATGCAAAAGGAATTAAAACATCAGATAAGGTCAGCTTCTCTTTATTTCACATTTCAGCAGAAAGCCCGTATCAATGCAAACGTATGAACTAGACAGAGGTTCTCAAACTGGGGGTTGTGTCCCCTCCAGGAGTTGCGAGGTTATTACGTGGCGGGGTCGCGAGCTGTCGGCCTCCACCCCCAAACCCCGCTTCGCCTCTAGCATTTATAATAGTGTTTAATATAAAAAAATGTGGTTTGAATTTATAATAGGGGGGGGTCACACTCAGTGGCTTGCTGTCTGAAAGGGGTCACCCATACAAACGTTTGAGAACCACTGAACTAGAAGGATCTTTAAGGAGGTGCTGTAGTGTGGTTTGCAGATACCAGAAGGAAGAGAACTGCAGAAAACTATAAGAGAATTGATTGGGGGGTTAACATAATTTCCCCCCAACCCCATAAAGATTGCTTCATAAATTGGCCTTCACAACAGTCCCTATTCAATTCACCCCTCCGCTCTGGCTGAATGCCCGCGCTCAGAGGCTCACGCTGGGTCTCCTGTCTGGGGAGATGGTTTTGCGGACGGTGGGACCAGACACCTGCTCCAGCTCCCTCTGGAGAAGTTCCCACTCCTTCTCCGGGAGGTGGTTGTCCTCCTGCCAGAAGAGACACTCGCTCACATCACTGCTCACGCCTTCCTCTGAGCATCAGAACATGAGGTGCCGTCCCCCATGATGCCTTGCTACGCTAGAGACTCCTGGGAACTGGAAGGATTACACACACACGGCAGCTTCCCGGCAGAGTCCAACCAGCAGTTGTGCCTTCTCGTCTCCCGCTGAGCTGGAGTCACTACCTATTTGCCCTGCAGGAAAGCAGAGGAGGCCAACGACTGAATGAGCCACGGTGGTCGAACTCCCCTCTCATCCTTAAAGGTGACCCCGTAGGTCAGAGGGGCAGGACTTTGACTGGGCAGTGCTGGGGAAGGCTACCCTGGGCCTGTGGATCAACAGGGAAGTTTGGTCTCCAGGACTCTCAATCCAGCACCTATTCCTAGGGCTAAATCCACATGAAAAAACCCCTGACAATAAAAACAAAACTGGGCCCAGCGTCCCGGCAAGAAGCAGCCCCTCCACCAGCACGAAGGGATGGAGAAAACAGCCCTTGAAGAAGCTACACGCCATCATAGGAGCCAATCCCCAGTCAGTGCTGGGCCCATCTCCCACAGAAAGGGGTAAAACTGACCCCTGAGAAAGGCCTGAGATGGCGCTTTGCAGGCAGCCTCGCAGGGACTCTGGCAGGACGCCGTGAGAAAGGCAGCTTCACAGACCTCTGAGCCGAGGCGGCATTAAGTGAGACCGTTCCCCTCACACGCTCCCAGCACCAGGCCGGCGCCTGTCCAAACACAGCATCAGGGAACATTCCACGTGTGTTTTACGAGCAGCAGCAGCCAACGTCCGCTGATTCGTCTCCTTGTGAACTGGCAACGCCAAGCACTGATATGTTACTGCCGGGCACGAACCTGGCCTGAGCCCTTCCCATCACAGCAGGTTGATCTCGTCCAAATAGCCGACCAAGACCACATCCCTGACGTCCTTGAAAACCTTGCGGATGTTCTGCGTATCCGTGGCACAGGTGTAGTGGCGGTAGAGGCACCTGGATTTGGAGGCCATCATGGAGGGTCTCTGCCCTGCGTCGCAGTGGACAGCGGAGCATCGCTTGTAGGTGTCCACGTACATCTCCAGAATGAACTTCTTCGCCGCCTCCGCATCTCGCTTGGGTCCTGACGTGGAACAAGAACAGACCTCAGCAGGGCTTTGCCACTGAAAGCCAGGCCGGCTCCGTCACACCGGGCAGAACGGGAAGTCACGGTAGTGGCGATCACGGCATTCTCTGCACGAGTGACTGTGGACGGGGCATTCCCCATTCGGTCTATGGCAACAAAACCTTGATTATTCATTTTAAGCCAGCGCCGGGCAACCCCAGGCAAAGAGCAGCATCGCATTGGGCTAGTTGCTGTGCCAATAAACACACAGCCTGTGCCCCCGAGAGCTTACAGAGCCGTCCCTGGTTGGGAACCCTCCCCCCCACACACAGAGTTAGTGAGAGAGGTTTACGTGTTACCTGTGGGAGCCTAGGCTATTCTGGACCAGAGCAAGGGCAGAGAATACACACAGGGTCATTCCCCGCCCCGCCCTGCCCCGCCCCATTTCTCTGCATGCCAAGAAAGCAAGTAACCCAGTAACAAAGCAGAGAATGGCATGATGGTGCAGGGAGCATTCTCTGCGATGGCTTGAGTGCGGGAGGAGCACCGGGGAGATGTTTGCTTGTGGCTCTTTCCGTAACAGACAGCGGGGGCGATCTGCTCCTGAGCTGCTCTCTGCGGGCACGGGCTCTGCTTCCGGAGAGCCCCCAAGCGTCGGTCTTCATGCAGCAGGGTTTGGCGGGAGTTACCTGGGAAGCTAGGGAAGTAGGCAGCCAGGTCCGAGTGGGTGATCTTGTCCTCCAGGAGGTCGGTTTTGTTGAGGAAGAGGATCACGGAGGCGCTCTGGAACCAGGGCAGTTCCAGGATGGTTCTGAACAGGGCCAGGCTCTCCCTCATCCGATTCTGCACCCAGGGGTGGGAGACAAAGACAACACCCATCAGCCCCCCTTCCTCAGCCCCCTTCACTCCCAGAATACCCGGTGTGAGTCAGAGAGGACTCAGACAAGGAACACAGCAGCCCAGATGCAGGGAGGGAGCCAGACATCTGAGCAGAGAGCGGAGCCCCTCCAGACCTGCTTGCTAGTGAGATATATACGCCCAGGTCTTGTGGCAGGGAAGGGCCTGGCTCATCTCCTTAGGGCTCCTTACCTCCTCGCTATTCTCCTCCAGGCACTGGTCGTACTCGCTGAGGGAAGCCAGGTAGATCAGGGCAATAACGTTTTCGAAACAGTGTATCCACTTCTTGCGCTCCGACTTCTGCCCACCCACATCCACAATCCTACAGGGAGCCGGGAGGACAGGGCCGTTAGCGGGTGGAGCTGCCTTTGAGAGGGATTTACTCCTAGTATGCAGCATTTCCAGGACTCCCTTTGCCCCCAGACGGGTGCAGCACCAGCGGCAAGCAGCCAGCTGTGGGGTGGAGGATAGCAATTCCACAGCACCCAGCAACACCCGGGGTGGGATTCACCTGCCCGAAGCTGGAGGGGGTAGGAGACATGACTGTGAGGAAGGCAGACTAGAGATACCTGCTGGGCTCTTTGTCCTGGGCTATCAGGGTCTGTTACCACCCAGCCTGATTGGAACCAGGAGCTCCTAACCTAGCTGTCTACACGACACTCCACTCGCATGTAGAGGACGTGGCCTGTACTGAATCTGGGCAGAAACAGCAGCAAAGACAAGGTGGGGAATCCCATGCACTCCCACTGCTCTGCAGTAGCTTCACCTTAAGATCATCTCCTGCATGGAGAAGCAGTATTCACTGATGCCGGTCGTCGGCATGCGGCTCCTCAGGACATCCTGAGCTGTGGGGATGTAACTGTCCTCTGCGATACGCTCCAGGCTGGACAGAAAACTGCAAAACAGCCATGAAACGAGGAGGAAGTCAGTCCCTTTGGCACCTCATGCGAGAGGATCTCAAAGCGCTTTACAGAACACGCAGCCCTACAGTAAGCCAGTGATCGTGTCCCCGGTTCCGCAGATGGGAGGGGAAGCTAAGCCAGACGTGAAGAGAGGCAGTGCAGGGAAGAGCACGCCCAAGTCCTGACTCCCAGCCCTGTGCTTGAACCACACAACCGTTACCCCTTCCTATTAAGGCATAACCCGCTGGGCGGAGCCTGCGGCAGCCTGGAGCCATTTATCACTGATGGGCAAACCCCAGAGAACGTCAGTTCAGAGAAGACACCTGGGAGGTTTCTGCATCTGGTTGGACTCAGGAGACTCACGATTCGTTGCTACTTCAGGCCATGGACCAAGCACAAAACCAAAAATGTGTTTAAATATTTAAAGGAAAATTTAAAATACCCATTCAAATATAATGGGGTTTATTGTGTGTATTACCGCAGCATCCAGAGCGCCCAGCAGACACTGAGATCCTGTTGTGCAAGGTGCTGTACATACACATCGTAAGAGGCAGCCTCTGCCCTGACTCTTACAGGCTAAAAGAGACAGGCTAGGTGGAAGAGGAGACAGGCACAGAGAAGGGAAGTAACTTGCTCAAGGTCATAGAGCAGGTCAGGCTGAGAATAACCCAGGTCACCGGACTCCCAGCCCAGTGCCCTCCGCAGCGGGTCACACCGCCTCTTCCAGCAAACCCCTTTTCGTCCCGGAAACCTCGACCGCTAGGCAAATTGAAACCCTGGGAACGCTGTTTGACGTGCCACCCAGCAGGGGGCAGCCGTGGTCTCACGCGCCCGTTACAGCCTGCAGGGGTGACTCACTACGGGGCCGAGTCCAGTAAGTGATACTCCCGCCGTCTCTCGTAGCAGGTCCGGATCCCCGCGTCCCTCCATAGGCTTTCAATGGCGTTTGCGTACGGCCTGATCAAGGCCGCCACCTTCGAAGCGTTCACCCCCATGACCAGCTTGGCGTTTTCCTAGAAGCAGGAGAAATGGGGGGGGGGGGTTACATAAAGAAGGAGCAGCTACCTTCTTGGAAACTTCCTGAAGAAAATTCTCTCCCCTCCCTGCAAGGACAAATCCAAACAGCGCAGGCCTGGGGGTTATATGAAGAGAGGGAGCACGGCCTAGTGCACTGAGCATGAGACAAGGGGCTAGGACTCCTGGGTTCTAGTCAGGGCCCCGCCTCTGATTCGCTGTCTAGCCCTAGCCACGTAACCTAGGGCTCGGTTTTCCATCCACACGCACAGCCCGCATTACTGTAGGATCTGAGCAACTCCCCATCCTTAATGCATGTATCCTCACCGGCCCCCTGGGCGGGAGGGCAGTGCTACTATTCCCATTTCACAAAAGGGAAACTGAGGCACGGGTTTCAGAGTAGCAGCCATGTTAGTCTGTATCCGCAAAAAGAAAGCTTGTGCTCTAATAAATTTGTTAGTCTCTAAGGTGCCACAAGTACTCCTGTTCTTTTTGAGGCACGGGGCGGCCTGCTCCAGGTCACACAGGAAGTCAGGAAGCAGGAAAATTCTTTACTAGTCTCCTCAGCCTTGGGGCGGGGAGGGAGCGTGCGCCTCTTTTCCCTGGACAAGGAGCCATTGCTCCTGCCGTGGAGCGAACAGGGGCCGCTCGCTCAACCTCCAGCTCTTGACAGACCAGCTCTGGAATACGCTGGCCTGTTGCGACACCTCCCTTTGCTTTGCACCGATGGCCCTTGGCTCTCCTGTGAGGACTGGCTGGGCTCCTCCCTGGACAAAGAGGGGGGCGTTGCTGCATTCTAGTAGGCTCCAGCCTTCCAGGCAGGTGGGGCTCAGATCCTCAGCTGGTGTCAACCAGCACCGCTCCATTATCTGCAACGGTGCTATGTCGGTTTATACCCAGGGAGCGCGTCTGGCTCGGGGCATCCCGCTGCCTCCACTCCCCATCCGGGGTAACTGCCGGCAGGGGTCTCCCTGTCTGGCCCGCCCGCCCTCTGAACTTACCACATTCTCTGGCTGGGCATAAGGGATCTGCAAAGTCTCCATGGCTCCGATCATGGCCTGCATGGAGGCGAAGACGTTCTGATACACCAGCGTGGCAAAGCCTTTGCGATCCTCTTCTGAATAGCCCGCCCCGTGGATTATCCGCAGCTGTTTGATGAACGTGCTCTTCCCGCTTTCCCCAGCGCCTGTTGGCCTCAGACAGGAGAGAGACCTTAGACTTCCTCGGGGAGCTGAGGTCATGAACCTAGTGGGGAACCTGAGGCTCGTCCACCATCGAGAGTCAAGGGGCAGGTACTTCATAGCCCACAGACTGTTTGACCAGGGGAGGTGGCGACAGGAAATGGTCTGTGACATAAATGCCTCCATCAAGGAGGGGGATCACGTGCCCCTTCCCCATTTTAACTATCCTATTGCTGTCTCTCCATGAGGCTGCAGGAGACGTGCATTTCCCTTCTGGGGAGCCTCCCAATTCTCTTCCATGTGGAAAAGCCTCAGCAGAGAGGACAAGGATTGCAGGGGTTCTGAAGCCTGAGCTCTCCTGCCAGCCCTGGAGATGCCTGGAGACTTCAGATTCTGGGACTGTCGGGCCAATTCTTCCTTTCTCCGGCACTGAAGGGCACACCAGCGGGGAATGCCAGCCAGCTCTGTCCTATTACACAAGGGATCTGAGACCAAGGCTGGTTCCATAGGCTGGAAGGGGCCTCCTGGCCACCAGTCCAGTCCCCTGCTAATCCCAGGTCACCCCATCATAGAATCTCATTCATAGACTCATCAAGCTCCGTCTTCAAGTTAGTTCGGTTGTTTGCCCCCATTACTCCCCTCGGGAGGCTGTTCTAGAAGCTTCCTCCCCCGATGGTTAGAAACCTCCTTCTCATCTCCAGACTATGTTGATTCATGGCCAGTTTACCCCATTTGTCCTTTGGCTAATATTCTCCTTTAGCTTAAATACCTCCCTGGCTTTTACACACACACACCCCCGCCCCCTGATGTATTTAGGGAGAGCAATCCAATCCCCGCTCAGCCTTTGTTTTGCTGGTTAAACAAGCCAAGCTCTCTTAATCTCCTCTCATAAGACAGGCCGTCCAGTCCCCTGACCATCCTGGTAGCCCTTCTCTGAACCTGTTCCAGTTTGAAATCCTCTTTCTTGAACAGCAGGGACTGGTGAAGGCCGTATGCTCCTCTTGGAGCAAGCCCGGTAGTCATCTGCAACAATTCTCCCATACGACAGCAAAAGCAGTTTCTGCAATGCAGGCCTGACGAGGGTTGGAGAGCAGGAGTGAAGGAAACCTTTGGACAACAGAGATTTGGGGGAGACCCATCTTCCTTCCTCCCCTTTGGCTAAAATGCATAAATCCCTCATTATGGCTCTGCTCCCCTCCCCCACGTTCTCCACCAAACGGTCATCCAGTGTAAACAAAGCTGTGTGGGCCACAGAGTAACTCACCTAGTAGAAGTAACTTCAGCTCCATCCTGTCTCGCTTTTTCTGGTCTCTTAGTATTTTGTTGATTTCTTTATCTAACACAACAGCAGCTTTATCTTCTTCCGACAGGAAATAGGGGCACTTCCGACAACAGCAGAAGCACCAAGCCATGGTGTGGGAAAGATCAGATCCCCGATGGGGAAAGCAGAGAGAAACGCCACAGTTTATAGCACAGAGGGGTGACTGGACACTGCCTCCCAATAGGGAGCAAGGCAGACTGTACCCACCGCAGTGCCCTCTTAAATTGGGCTTGGGAATGCTTGGTGAGCACTTAATCACACATGCTCCAACGTCCGTGGCTGTGGTCTCTGCCACTCAGTTGCTCGGAGAACTGCGGTAGCAAAGGTTTCTGGTGCGGGGATTACTCATCCCCGGACATTAATTCAATTCATGCACGCCTCTTTTCCTGCCTTTTCAGGCAAAGATCCATCTCTATACCTCTCCCTCCCCCACCCCCCGCAGAAAATCAGAACGTTCTACAGCTCTCCAAAGTTACTGGTGATGAAGGGAAATCAGAACCTCTCGGCGTAGCAGGTGTTTCAAATTTCATAAGAAAAACAAATGAAACCAGAAAGGACGGGGCGAGGGTGGGGGTGGAATCTCTCTTCCAAGAAGCGTTCAAATGATCTTGATTTAAAATTCCCCCAGGATGACGATTAAAATATCCTTCTCAAAGCAAAATTCTGCCTCTCTGAAACATGCCTTGGCTTGTCCTTCCTTAGACAAATCCAGTTTCCAAGACAGAGATATTTAGGTTGCCTCTTGCTTAAACTGTAAGGGAGCTCTCTGTGTCAGGAACAGTGATGAATAAGAAACCCTTTCATTCTGAGAAACGCACCAGCTACCCCACCCTCCTTCTCAGGCCTGGGCAACAGGTCTGGACTAACACAGAGAAGTACTGAAACTCCCACTCCCTGCTCACATAAGACAGCTTGATGGGGGAAAAAATCCCCTATGCACAAACAGCTCTCTCCTTCCTCAATGTACATCACAGATCCTCTGGCCAAGGAGGGGAGCGGAACGGAATCTCAGACATCTAAAGTGTTGAGTTCTTCAAACTACAGGCCACCACGCCCATGCGGTGAGCATTCTCTTCTGCATTGTGTCAACTGTCTTTCAATTTCTACCGCACGTTCCATCCCAGCTCATTGGCTGATAGAGCATGAA